ACTTTGTAAACATAATTGCTAGGGTTACTATAGTAAATGATGTCATTTGAATACTGAATTTAACTGATCACTTCAGTTTTTGAATTGAGAGATTTGTTGCAGAGCTAAACCTTGTTTAAAGTTTTATTTGAATGGATGATGATATGTTTGATTTGTCAGTTGAAAACACAAACTAAAATTCAGTGGTATGAGTTGTATTAAAACATAAATATATTTGTTAATTCCAAATTTAGATTTATTCAGTTGTTTGGTTGGGGTTTTATAATAATCAAGAAATGGTATTGTAACATCATCATGGGTTAATTCTAATCAATATTAATGAGTTAGTTCAACACAATCCAATAAGCCAGCACTTCATTTTGAATATTAATGAGTTAGTTCAACACCATCCAATCAGCCAGCACTTCATTTTGAATATTAATGAGTTAGTTCAACATCATCCAATCAGCCAGCACTTCATTTTGAATATTAATGAGTTAGTTCAACACCATCCAATCAGCCAGAACTTTATTTTGAATATTAATGAGTTAGTTCAACACCATCCAATAAGCCAGCACTTCCTTTTGAATATTAATGAGTTAGTTCAACACCATCCAATCAGCCAGCACTTTATTTTGAATATTAATGAGTTAGTTCAACACCATCCAATCAGCCAGCACTTTATTTTGAATATTAATGAGTTAGTTCAACACCATCCAATAAGCCAGCACTTCCTTTTGAATATTAATGAGTTAGTTCAACACCATCCAATCAGCCAGCACTTTATTTTGAATATTAATGAGTTAGTTCAACACCATCCAATAAGCCAGCACTTCCTTTTGAATATTAATGAGTTAGTTCAACACCATCCAATCAGTCAGCACTTCATTTTGAATATTAATAAGTTAGCTGAAAAAGCTGAGAAAGCTGATTATCAATATTTAATATTTTTAAAGAAAACTAAGATACACTTTCTGCCTTTCACTGTATTTGACAACAAGTGTAATTAGACAATCATTCAGATTTATATTTTGATCCGCAATTTAAAATAAATAAACAAAGAATACTGTACAATACTTCATTTAGGCTTGGAATTAATTTTCGCTATTTTCTCTGAAGTAATGATTCAGTAAAAATAAAACCCAGCGAATATACCTTTTTTGCTATATTTTACATTCAACTCGTCAAAAATCAGTGAAAATAAATTCCATACAAAACGCCTGAAAGTTTTTTCAGCGAAAATGAATTCCAGCCAGAATAAAGTATTTTACCGTAATTTCTTGCAAAAAAAAACATTTTCCCAAGTTGGGTAAAAATTTGAAAAAATATTCAAATTGAATATATTGTGGCAACCCAAAATGAGCAGTTTACAGCTAATATATGGTGGAAGAAAATAAGCTTACCTTTATCAATTTGTGTTCCCTCTCGGTCAGGAAGTTGTCGGCTCTCATCTATGCATGATGGATCTGTTTTGAAGTGATGATTATTTATAATGACTGCCAAACCTCGAGGCAAACTTCCGACTCGATACGCTGGGATCCCATCAATGCAATAGACATCTTCTTTATTTGCAACTAATTTTGGTATCCCATTGATTGTGATCTTTTCATCGTTGTTATTCATCCTAAACTGAGCTACACCGTCAACTTGCTGTCTTGCAAGCAGGGCGGCGCGGGTGGACTCGGCCTCAGCTTTTTTTTTATCTTGAAAATCTTTGATGGCGTTTATTCCACGCTGACAGACGGCAAGCGAAGGTATCACAAGTGGGTTACCATTAAGCTCCAGTAGCTTAATCTGATTAAGCTCAGTGCCAAACTTTGGAGGCAGCTTCTTAATCTTGTTGCCCTTCGCATGGAAGTTTTCCAGGTTTTTTAGCTCGTAGAATGCTTCTGGGATTTCTCGGACCTTATTGTTATTGATATTCAACACTTTTAGTTTTTTTAAACGAGCTATTCCTTGTGGAATATTAGCGATCTTGTTATCATACAAATACAACTTCTCTAGGTTTCCCAGCTCCACCGAACACAATGCTTCCGGGAATTCTTCAAAAACATTGCCGGTCAGCCACAGGTCCTGTAAATTAGTCAATTGACATATCTGTGATGAGACCGTTTTCAACCGATTTCGGCTCACCGACAAAGTGCGCAAGTTTTGAAAATCACATGCTACTAGCGGGAATTTATCAAATGCATTAAATGAGAGTATGAGTTCTTGGAGATTTTTCAAGCGACGGAGTTGAGGAGGTAAATCTTTAAGTTTATTTCCCTGCAAACTAAGCTTATAAATGTCCCTGTCTTGCCATGCTTCGGCTGGAACAGATTTGAGCGATTTCCCTCGAAGTATACATTCTTTAGGCTGTTCTTCTTTTGGCTCCTCCCCTTCTGATAACTGATTCTGCTCTTGCTGTTCCAACAATTGAGGCTCCTCTTCCATTGTGTTAAACTTTATACAATTGTGTTATCTTTTTAACTGAAAAACAGTGAAAAAAATACACAATTATCAATTTTTTCCATTAAATAACAAAAAGTAATTTAAAGTACCCATAAAATTAAGATTTTTCTAATGTTTAATTTTTTTAAGATTGACCATAATATCTTTGGAATTTCTTATACTTTGCAAATAGATTGCTTATTGCTATAATGGGATCACAAATCAAATTTGTAGACCTATTTACATTATTTCTATGTGTAAATACATCCATACTGTCAGTCTGACAGTAATAGACAACATTTTGAAACATGGTTGGTAATCAGCTGCTCTAATCTCACAACTTTCAGAGCAATCTCCATGACAAAGTCTCAGTGGTTTTCACTGTAAAAAATAAAGAATAAGGGGGTACAGATCTATTTAGAAAAATACTGTAGTTTACCCTATGCTAACTTTGACTCTGCCCACAAACATAAAACTTAAACATTACGTAATTACTCTCACTCACTGGAGTGAACCTGCTGTTGTATTAAGATATATTGCAAACCATTTAAATTATTAATATTATTATTTTTTTGCAATTTCAGGATTTTATGGCATTTGTGAAGACAAAAATTAACAAAAAAAGTCACTGACCTTCTTGTCGTAGGAAACAAACTTTTCATTCCTACAAAATGTTATCATTTTCACTGACTTCAAGAATTTAAAAAAAATTGCCTTTTGCTAACTACTCCATGTATATATATCCCAACAAAGAACCCAAAACAAATACATTTTTTTCAAAATTGTTGCACACAAGCATTTTTATCAAATTTTTATCCAATTTGAACTTTTATTTTTCATAAAACCTGAAAGTTGTCTCTTTTTTTTTACATTTCTGAAAATAAATTAAAAAAAGTTGTTATGCGAACATTTGTAACTGATCCATGCAGAAAGGCTTTTTTCTCAGTGAATTTTAGAAAATGCATATTCCAAGTAAGGTATAATAACTTAATAATTGAAAGATGAAAAAAATATATATATTTCTAATATGGCAGCTTGTTATAAATAACAAGTGGCATTGCCAAAACGTATTACTTTTTTCCTCCTATCTACATGAAAACTATTTACAGGCCGACTTCAGGTGGTTGAACCGAAAAAGACATGTATAGAAATAAGGTTATTATGAGGATTACACTCAGACAGTATACATACGGTCATGTCGACCTCAGCTATGCATCGGTCGTTACCCTCACTGCATTGTCTCCACTGATCTGTGATATTCTCAGAATAAACTCATAATATTATAGCGAAAACAATTCAACAAAGGTTCAGTTAACATGGATTTGTGCCAAAACCATAAAACATCATGGCTAGTACCTCATACTGCTATCAACGATGGACTCTGCCCTTTGCATACAAATGTACCTATATATGTACGCAGCCATGATTTAATGTGAGATTTCCCAACCCACAATCTGAATAACATTAACGGCGATACAGCATTGTATTTTCAGGACACAAGATTATAGAATGCCCATCCCATTCACTGATAACTTAGATAATAATAAATTATGAAAACACATTGCAGCACGAATACCATTATTACCTAGGAACAAAAGGGGTATTACAATAGACCATTGTATTTTTCCATTTCAATTATCTCTTTAAATCGGGATTACAAAATGTAAAGAAATGCATACCATGACAGAAATGTTAAATTGTTATACGACTTGTATTTATATTTATTTACAATCTGTAATGAGTTTTGAAGTTTAATTTTATTTGTTTGAACATTCTTGGGGCTGGCTTGGCAGTGAGCGTATACAACTACCTTTTTTGACACATTTACATTTAACTTTTACCAACTAAATAATTTTTTGAAATTTTCTATTTCATTTATTATTGATTTAAACACAATCCATTTTTGTTTTTTCAATCCATCATACTCTTTTGCAGCCTTTCTGAAGGCAGTTTCCAGTTTCCCGATAAAGCAACCATGGTTGAGTTGACAATTCCTTTGATGGACAGCCATTGAACTTGAGTGTTGGCCCGACAGCAGGTACAACATGTATAAAAAAAAACTATACACATAGAGTTCTTTTTGAAATAAATAAACCGAAAACAAACAATTACACATACTGAATAACTGCAGAGTATAAAAGTCCAAATTAGGATTAAGGTGAAATTCCCTAACAAATTCGTTTTTTGTTAATTTTAAGTATTAGCAGCAATTGAGGACAGCCCAGAGAACAAACACATACTAGAGCTCTTGTGCATAGAAGTATTGATTCCACTCAAACTGTACAGTCACTACAGCATTGACTTAGTATGTATGTTTACAATTATGGTGCACATACAGCAACACACACACAAAAATTCAGAGTCTTGGTGATAATACGGACACAAAGAATGTTAGGTAACTTTACGTGAGAAATCAAAACATCACTTGCAAAAGTCAAATTCAGTTGAAATAATTGCAGACAAAATGCTGAACAAAGTCACCGCTTGCATGGCCATGTGAGTTTCTAGAGAAAAAACTGAAATAGTTTTTCTATCAATAAATCAATCAATCGATCGATCAATGAGAACAAATACAAGTGTGCTGTTTAATCCCGAAATCACTTTTCGAAACGTGCTCCTATTTCCAGTGTGCATAGCAACGGAGCTACGACTAGCAGAAACTCGCCGGTGTGGATGGGTTACCCGGTCTTCACGGCGAGTATTTAATAAACTTCCGACTGAAAAATAAACAATACCTCGCTTCTGTGGTCTCTATGGTAACGTGTATACCCCGCGATGCAATGGACATGTGTGTTGACAAGGCTTCGTTCAGGTCTGGCTATTCCAAAGACCGCGTCTTGTGCGGATGTTTTGTGAAAGCACTTGATTCACTGTGTACACTATACAGACACAGCGCACGCAGCTCTTCAACACATATACACTCTCAGTTGAACCGCGTGGCTGCTGATTTTTCCCTGGATAAAGTTGGAGAGCGTGCCGTTGCACCTGATTGGGGGTCGACCAATACCACTTACCTCAGTGCTATTTCTCCGATTTCATCAGATGATCTGGTACTGTAACGGTAAAACGACCCCCACAGCGTCGTCGAAAACAGTCACCGTGAGCGACACTTGTTACACACATACATATGTGATTTAGTTTCCAAGGCCAGTGAAAATGTACCCGCCACCAAACTGTCAAAAGTTTGCCTGACAGCTACGGCGCCCTCGGGGATCATACTTTGTTTTGCTTCCGTTTTTACAAAAGTGATTAAATCTTTTAAAGGGGCAAGGGGGGGGGGTAGCTGGTACAGTTTTATGAGAAAAAGGGGCTTTTTACAATTTACAAGGAAAAAAAAGACGTTTTTACAGTTTACAGTGAAAATTGAATTTTGCAGTGAATTGTGCCATCTAGTCGTTTTACAGTTTCGAAAATGTAATTTCCATGGATTATTCTTTACAGCTTTTTTATTTAGATGTAAATTCTTGTACGTACCGAGAAAAATTACACATTTTTACAGTGTACGAAAAAAAAAATATTTGATTGATTACGTTGTACGTTTAGCCTGTGATTACAGAATTACAGAATGTATTTTTTTCAATTTACGTTGTACGAACAAAAAAAAAAAAAATACGTTGAACGAAAATAACCCTTGCCCCCTTCTTTAAAATAAAAAAATAGCAAAACACGGACAATGTAATTATAAATAAAGTAATATAAAAAAAAATTGAAAACATTTGTAAACAGATTTTAGACAAAGGTAACTAAGGAAAAAATAAATTGCGCACTTACAGAGAACTGAAAACCACTTACACGTAGTCAAAAATACTCATCACAGGTCATCAATGACAACATTAAGATAAGTGCTCACGCCATAGAAGACGATAAACATTCTCTGTTAACATTTGATCTGTATGCAAGAATAAGAAAAAAACAACTTTATCAGCGGTTATCATCCCCGCATTTAGCAAAAAATAAAGTAAAACTAAAATATTTTATAAATAATATAGATAAGAAAAGAATAATACAAACAGCAAAATGCACAGAAAACTGTCACGGTTTCAACACCAGAGAATACAAACTGAAAACAATAAAGTCAGCTACCCCAAGATCAGCTGTGGACTCATAGCCCCCTGAAAGCCATTTTTTATTGTAATTTTTGGTCGTCGGTATTCGAAAACAAGTTGAAAAGACGTCCAAATAAAATTTAAAAGGCAGTAATCAGTTGACAGTCGCAATAGAGAGCTGCGAAACCGCAGCTATAAGGTTATTTACATGCAATTAGTAAACGAAATATTCACCAACACAAATATGAAAAACAAATCCAATTTATTTTTCCATTATTTTTTTGTTTAATAGTTGTGGTGTTTTGCTTTGTTTGTGTTTTTATTTTATTCTCATTTTGTTTGTTTGTCTTTTTCGCATCTGTATTGCAATCTTGGTGCCTGGGGGTCTTGGTGTCACACTTGATTGCAATATCAATATGTCGCCGCAAGTACCTGTATATGCAAATCATGCTATATTCAACTAAGACGTATTTCTTCTATTTGCCACTATCTTACACCAAAAGAAACACTCACTCTCGTTTGTGCTTTCATACTATCTCGTCTTGACTATTGCAATTGCTTATTAGTCGGATGCCCTGATTATTTGATAAAAAAACTTCAACGAGTCCAGAATTCAGCAGCTCGTCTTGTCTGCAGGCGTGGTTTATCTTTTCACATTTCACCACTTTTAAAATCGCTGAAGAGGGCACTAAAACATATCCCTGTAGTCAATTTTACGAGTTTTAATTTGTTTTTCTTAGGAGAATATGCGCATGATAAGTCCTCTAAATAATAATATACACGAACACAATAAAGATTATTAATGTTACATAATGTGGTATAGATCGCCTTTGCAAAAGAGTCTTCTATACACGAAAAGTAATGCTTGTAATTACTTGCAAAACATAATACGGTGTAAAACACACTAAATCATTATTGAAACCGCACCAACTCCGAGTCCAATCACAAGGGCGCCACCAACTGAAAATCCCTTCATACAAAATGGCAGCGCCCATGAAACGATCATGGTCTTAATAGTTTTCGCAAGAAATTTAAGAAAAGTCGGATACTTTTCCTGTTTGTTAATGAGAAGTAGCAAGTGTGCGAGGACCATGAGTAGTGAGAAGCGTTTTAAAATCTTCGTGACTCGGAATATTCCTCAGAAAGCACTAGATATTCTGCAGCCAGAGTGAGTAGTAACGACTCACGAGTCCAACTACAACTGCTCGGTTATAACATTGATTGCCAAACTTTCTTCACACTTCCTTTGCACACGCATTGCTAAAGTTGAATCTAAAGTGTTGTTGTTATTGTTGTTAGAATGCATTTTTTGTTCGCATGGTCGTTTTTATTTTGGGTGGGTATTGAAAATGGGGGCGGGGCGCTCGGAAGATTTGAGAGACACACGCGACAATGCCCTGGACGCTTCAAATTACATTTTATCTCCACAACTTTAAATGACACAATGAATGAATAGTGATGTAATCAGAATACCATATTTATAATAATTTGTGTCTCAATGTCGTGTGCAGATGCCATGTGACACAGTGGAAATCAGACGATCCGGTACCTCGATCTGAGCTATTGAAGAACGTTCCTGGAATTGATGGCCTTTATTGCCTTCTAACTGATACTATTGATGGTGATATTTTGACTGCAGCAGGTTAGTACTGGGTGGTTAGTACTGGGTGGTTAGTACAGAGAATTATTACCTGTTGGTTAGTACCCAGGGATTAGTACTGGGTGGTTAGTACCCGGAGTTACTACTGGGGTGTTGGTACCAGGTAGTTAGTACTGGGTTGTTAGTACCAGTGGGTAATTAGCAGATGGTTGTAATGGGTGGTTAGTGCTAAGGATTAGTACTGGGTGGGTAATACCCAGGACTAGTACCAGGCGGTTAGAACTGAGGAGTTAGTACCAAGCGGTTAGTACCAAGGGCTTAGTACCAGGGGGTTGGTACCAGGTGGTTAGTAGCAGGGGGTTAATACCAGGCGGTTATTACCGAGGGATTGGTACCAGTTGGTTTGTAGTGAGGGGTTGGTACTGGGTGGTTAGTACCAGTGGTTAGTACCGGGTGTTAGTATCAGGTTACTACCTGGGGGTTGGTACCAGGTGGTAAGTAGCAGAGGGTTAGTACCGGGTGGTTAGTATCGAGGGGTTAGTACAAGGCAGTTAGGACCGAGGGGTTAGTACTCGGTGGGTAGTATCAGGGGGTTAGCGCCGGCTGGTTAGTACCAGTGGGTTAGTACTGGGTGGTTAGTACAAGGAGGTTAGTACCAGAGGGATAGTACCAGGTGGTTAGGACTGAGAGGGTTAGTACCAAGCGGTTAGTACTGGGTGGGTAGTACCAGGGGGTTAGTACTGGGTGGTTAGTACAAGGAGGTTAGTACCAGAGGGATAGTACCAGGTGGTTAGGACTGAGAGGGTTAGTACCAAGCGGTTAGTACTGGGTGGGTAGTATCAGGGGGTTAGTACTGGGTGGTTAGTACAAGGTGGTTAGTACTGGGGGTGGGTACCAGAGGGTTAGTACTCAGTGGTTAGTACCAAGGGATTAGTACTGGGGGGTTAGTACCAAGAGGCTAGTACTGGGTGGTCAGTACCCGGGGTTAGTACTGTGAGGGTTGGTACCAGCTTGTTCGTACCAGAGGGTTTGTACTGGGTGGTGAGTACCAGGGGATAATTAGCAGGAGGTTGAACTGGATGGTTAGTGTTAAGGATTAGTACCAGGTATGTTGTACCAGGGGTTAGTACCAGGCGGTCAGAACTGAAAGGCTAGTACCATGTGCAGTGTTTCAGCCAGAGCGCGGGCTTGCGTCATTTCATGCAAAAAAATAAACATTGTCCCTCAGAAATAAAGGTTTGGGGTCACAGGGACGCACTGATACCATTATCCGGAAGCCTGGACTGGTTGTGAAGCGTTAGTTTTTTATATATATATATATATATAAACATCAGGTTGCACGTGGGAATGTTTTGATTCTGACTTCATTATTGTTTATATTGCCGCACGAGTAAGTGATTTTTATGACAGTTTCGCATTATGTCTTGTCTATTTCGTCTGCTACTATGGCAACGTGGCGACAATCAATTAGGTCTAAAATAAATTGTTGCCATTTTTTCTTTGAGGCCGCGTGCCGAACTGATTGATACAAAGTTTCGTTTCTATGGTGCCTCTGTGGCAGTTCAACGTAGTTGGAAGTCGAAACACAGGGGAATTTACATTAACTGTCACTACGTCCATCGTGTCAACCGTCATAAGAATGTCAAGGCAAAAACGAATCACAAGTTTTTTTGGAGGACATGGTACGGCAGCTACTACAAGTACGGCAGACACTGGTGAAGATGTTGACATCACCGAAACACAACCAGAACATACAACACGATGATACGAACGAACCGGTCCACAAGAAACAGAAAGTCCGAAACTTCAGTAATGGGTGGCTACAAAAACCACAATATTCACATTGGTTGATCCGTCACAATGAGAAAGGAATGATTTGTAAATGGTGTCAAGACACCGGGAAATCAAATTCATTTACAGACACGCGTAGCGGAGGATGCTTCAATTTTCGGACGTCCACTCTGGAGAGACATTTGCAGTGCTCTGATCACAAAAAAGCCATTCAAGAAATTGTTTTCGCCGTAATTTTCAAAAAGCCAGGTCACGTGTTCTGAGCCACAAAGAAGAATCAATTATATTGGCAATGTGTAGTGTATATTGGCTCGCAAAGGAAGACATATTCACTCGAAAATATTCATCATTATTACAATTATTACAACTGCAAGGAATAAACACGCTGGGAAAATTGAAATCTGGTGAATATGCGACATACACTACCCAACAAACTGCAGACGAAATGCAGGATGCCATGGCCACTGTAATTCGTAAAAATATTGAAGATCAGTTGCATGGTAGTGAGTTTGTCAGCAAGTTGACGAACGAAAGTACGGACATATCAGTAACCAAAAAACTGGTTGTATACATGAGACTTATGGATTCGGACTTTCAGCCAAGAACTCGTTATTTGAGAAATGTTTCAGTAAAGGATGGAACTGCATTGGTAATCACTGAAACGCTGAAACAGATGTTACTAGATCAGGAAAAAATAGAAGCAAGACAACTACTTGGTTTCGGCAGTGATGGGGCGAGTGTCATGCATGGACGGCTTAACGGAGTTGCAGCGAGATTGCGACGTGAAGTAAATCCTTTTTTGTTGAGCGTTCATTGTGTGGCGCACCGCCTCGCTCTCTGTACAAGTCAGGCAGCCAACTCAGTAAACTATATGAAGAAATATCAACAAGTGTTGATGGACATTTACTATTATTTTAAACGTTCATCCGTACGTGTCGAAGCTGTGAAGGATATACAAAAGGTGTTAGATGACCCACAATTGAAATATAAAAAGTCCACGAAGTGAGATGTTTTTCGTTCTATAGTGCATTAGAAACAATTTATAGAACGTATGGCTCTCTCATTACTTACTTCGAATCAGTATCACGACAAAACCCGATAGCAAAGGGAATAATGAACAAAATGACCGACTTTCAGTTCGTTGCAACAATGCACTTGTTGATGGATGTGATGCCCGTTATGACACAATTGAGTTTGGTTTTTCAAAAGGCTGACATCGACATCGCAATGGTTCAAGTGTCCGTTAACAGTGCCATTGCGAAAATTAAATCGATCGCATCGGAAGGTGGACAATTTGTAAACCAGTTGAATGCACTACGTGACAAAGGATCGAAGTTCAAGTATTTCGACCATTCGATCAACGCATCACCCCAAGCTGTGAAGCAATTCGAAAACACGACAAAGAGCTTTAACGATAATATTTTGATGAATTTAAATGAAAGATTTCCGACGGAGACTAGTGATGTTATAACCTCATTCGCTATTCTAGCTATGCGACCACTAAGTTTCTTATCAAGTGACGATCTCAGTGAATACTGAAATCAATGAAATGGACACGTTAATTAATCACTTTGGTACAGATCGCGAGTCAGATGATGGTACGGTGTTTACGGCTATAATTGACGGCGATGAGACCAAGCATGAATGGTCAGTTGTAAAGCCATTAGTAGTGCAACAGAAATATCCACGTGATAAGATGTCAACCTTATGGAAGATAATATACGAATATCATAAAGAACAATTTACAAATCTACTTAAATTGGCGGGTTTAGCACTTATACTTCCAGTTCAAACAGCAGATTGCGAACGTGGGTTCTCGATTCAGAATCGTATAAAAACCAAAACGCGTAATAGACTGCAACCTCATAGAGTGGACACGCTGTCTCTGATCTCTGGCGAGGGGCCCAGTATTGAAGATTTTCAATTCAATGAAGCCCTTGCTTTATGGAAATCAAGTAAACCAAGGAGAGCATTTCATACGAAATGAATGTTATTATCTATACCCGTATATCTCATTAATGAATATTGATATTGATTGGCTTTGCTGATGTGTATTATGTACATTGTCAATCATGGAAATAAAAATTAAAGGTAAACATACTTTTTTGAGTGAAATGCAATTTATTATGAAAATTTAACAATGGGTGTCCCTAAAAAAAATCGTGTGTCCCCACTTTTTGGCTGACATGGGTCACGTTTCAAAATCCTGGCTGAAACACTGCATGTGGTTAGAACTGAGGAGTCAGAACCAGGTCGTTATTACCAAGGGGTTGGTATTGAGTGGTTAGTACCAGTGGGTTAGTACTGGGTGTTTACTATCGAGGGGATTTCTGACTCAATAAATTTGTGAAAATTTGTTGAAATTCAAATGGTTCACAGCACTTCATTTTGCTTTATAACAATTACATATTATTCTGTTTTAAATGTGGCATCTTGTTAATCTTGCAGGTCCGAGTCTTAAAGCTGTTAGTACTATGTCTGTTGGATATGACCATATTAATCTTGCCGAACTGAAACGCAGGTACAAAATGAGGTTAATCAGATACAGTTTGCATAATGATCAGAAACAATTTGCATATTAATCAGATACAATTTGCATATTAATCAGATACAATTTGCACATTGATCAGATACAATTTGCATATTGATCAGATACAATTTGCATATTGATCAGTTACAATTTGCATATTGATCAGAAACAATTTGCATATTAATCAGATACAATTTGCATATTGATCAGATACAATTTGCATATTAATCAGATACAATTTGCATAATGATCAGATACAATTTGCATATTAATCAGATACAATTTGCATATTAATCAGATACAAATGATGAATTTTTGAGATACTAGACTTTGAAGTGTACTGGCTTTTTTATGCTGGTTTTTATGTTGTAATTATTTATCCATGCCTCATAATGTTGCTTGATGTCACAAGATGAGAAAGACATGTATTATTATGAATTCTAACATGAAATCATTTAATATACAATTTAGTGTGTTTCCAGAGTGATAATGTAATTCTAGTTTTCATACACAGTTGGAGGCTACATGTATCTCCCATAATGCAATGCGTATACGTGCAGTAACACTCACTCACTAGTGCAAAATTTTTAATTCAGCTGCCTTTAATAAGTTTCTGTTAAAAAGAACAAAAATCCAATGTACCACAAACCCTACAACATTTTCAAATTTTATGATTTCAGGAACATCCCACTTGGTTATACCCCGGATGTATTGACGGATGCTACCGCTGAATTGACAGTGTCTCTTCTGTTAGCGACCTCAAGACGTCTCTTAGAAGCCGCTGAGCAAGTCAGAAAGTATGATATGTTATTTTTCATTGGCTAAAGGTTTGACAAATTTATGTGTATGTGTATTTTTTGAAAGGCTTTGAAAATGATAATCAAGCATGTTACCGGTTTAATTCCTGTTCTACTGACATATTGCAAGTCAGATCAAAAATGCATATCACATGGTCTAATGTCACATACTGTTTTTTCATTGTTTGCACTACCTATAAGTTGTCTGGAGCTTCCAGATTGATGTACGGTCTGATAACAAGAGTCTGTAATGAAAAGGTTCATATTAGTAAGCTCATGTGTTTATTTTTGGCATCATTCAGTCACACCAAAATTCTGTTGAAATTTTGTTTTGCTGTATGACACATCATATTTCATATTTTTGCAATAATTTTACTTTCAACATTTCACTTTTTAATATACATGGTGATAAATATATAATCCCAAGTTATTTTCTTTTAGATTGACGTCAGTTTACACTTGTGATTACCCCTAGAGTTGCATCAATCCCCGCCTACGACTTGGATTGATACTAAAACTTTGATTAATATTGTAGATTATACATATAATAATGTCTTTTTATTAATCCAGTGGTGGCTGGGGATCCTGGGTTCCATTATGGATGTGTGGAAGTGGACTTTCCAACAGCACAGTAGGAATAGTTGGGTTAGGACGTATTGGAATGGCTGTCGGCCAGAGGTTGAAACCATTTGGGGTCAAGAGATTTTTATACACTGGTAGGAGTCCTAAATCAGATTCTCATCTTCTCCCGGCTGAATTCGGTAAGTCATAGAATTTAAACCCTAGAGTGTCAGAATTTTTTCTGGGCAAAATTTTGGTGCAACCTTTTATACTCTTTATGTATATTTGCAAAGCACATTATCTTTGCAGTTACCCTGTCTGTGTGTATGTCTGTTACACACAGACAGGGTAAGTGAGAGCTGCTGGTAAAATTAGTAAATTTTTGTCTTTTCTACCAATATCTGAAGTACCAATCATCAAATTTCAATGAAAATTGACAAATTTGTTGACATCTTCAACAACTTCGCCATCGATGTAAATTCTGTCAACATTTCTTGCATTAATTTTCATTATTTTTTCTTCTGTCTGTTTTGTTGGAGATGTTGTTTTGTGGATGCTATCAGCGCTATGAAATCCAAGTCATCAAACTTTGATGTAAACTTCAACCTAATTCCTGTTTTGCCATTTTGACCTTCTCGTCTTCACTATGAAAATAAAGCCTGATATATTGGAGCCATTTTTACATTGCCCGTACCATTAAAGATGGAATGGAAAGGTATATTAAGGGAAAAATTGTTGTGCTGTGGTTGTTGCCACCGTCATGGTCGTTGATGTCGTTGTTGTCGTCGCCGTTCATAATTGCATAATTGTTATTGTGCGCACAATAACTTTACTAATTCTATTCAAAACTTCATCAAACTTGGTCACCTTATTCATCAGTATAAAGTCTTCCCTGAGTATGAACAACAGAATTTCTGTATGGAAATATCATGCAAAAATTAAGAAAATCTGATAAAATATTTTGACTGTTTCTACTAGACTGATCACTGGTGATACACATTCAAAGGTCACTGATCTCAGTGGAAATATGCAAATGAAGCAAATCATTTATCTTGTAATAATATCGTTGGTAATGTATCTCCCAAATCCCATGGGAATACTAGACTGGGTTTCAAAACCAACTCATGGAGAGAGTTTTTGCACAGTGCGATGCACATTTGCAAACCTACCAATAAAATCTTTACAGAAAACAAGATGTCAGAAAATCAATATAAGCACTCCTATGAACTAGGTGCCAAACTTTGATCAAGATCTGAAGCTAATAGAAAATCTGTTTAGTTCAAAGTTATCAAATCAAAAACAATACATAAAAAATACTTAAAAAGCAAAACGCTGCATCCACATTTTGAAAAGAAAATTGTACTAAAAATTGTACTAATTGTACTAAAAAACAGTTCATTCGACAAATGAAAATTCACAGGAATTTGTTTCAGCTATTAGAACATAATGATAGAGCTTTTATAATTCTAATTAAAAAACGTAATTCAAAAACAAAGATTACAGTGTTTGAAGATGTAAATTCTCAGGAGGCAACAGTACTGAAAATGATTTTTTTAGTGGAGTGGGATCACCAATCAGCTTATTGACTAGGTTTGTTGATAATAAATTTGTCTTTATTTCAGTAAGTCTTGATGATCTACTACTACAATCAGATTTTGTTATAGCGTGCTGCTCACTGACACCCGAGACTACCGATCTTTTTAAAACAGAAACCTTTGAGAAAATGAAGAGTTCAGCAATATTTATTAACACCAGCAGGTATGTGAATTGCAATACACTGTACGCTATAAATAACATATATAGAATTAGACTGACCCACAGTTTGTATTCCCTTCACTTTTACAATGACGTGGTGTGTCGAATGATGTGACATGAATGATGTGTTGGCAGATACATAGCGTATATATTGTACTATCACAGGGGTGGTGTTGTTAACCAAGATGACTTACTAGAAGCCTTGGAATCGGGAACAATCAAAGCTGCCGGGTTGGATGTTACTGTACCAGAACCACTGCCAACAGATCATCCATTGCTTGAGCTAGAAAATTGTGGTAAGATTTCTCTCTCTCACCATTATATAGTAAATCTTCTTTTTTCATGTTTTGTGTTAAAGTGGGCGAGTCCACCTGCACATGCGTCAGATGGCCATAGCGTGGCATTGTTTACAAACAAGCATCTACCCATGAGCCTTTGCATTTTTAGCATGTGTTGTTATCATTGCTTGATACTCAATTCTCACATGTGCGCATGTGATGATCCTCCCGCTTTTAATGTTTCTGCACTTCATCTGAAGTGTTTAAATTTGACCAAGTTAAGGGGTGGCTATTTCTCAGAATTATTGATTAACAAATCTGAAATCTATGAACTTTGCGGAGTGAACTTTTTCTGGCCAGCTAAATACATTCTTCTTATCAGTGAACAGAATTGACTAAATCAGGTGAGCACTTTCCCTGTGTAAATTTCCATTTGAACAATTTCCTCCAAGATTTGCTTTATTAGAACTCCTTCAGAAAATAATGCCAATTGATGTGATCTTTTCGCTTTCATATGCAAATTTATGTAGGTTTTACTAATCTGTCTTTGAAGTTATATATCTCAGATAACTATATTTACTAATAACAGTGAAAGCAAATAATAAAATTAAAAATGTTTCATAGGGTTTTATGTATGTACGCCAAACTTATCTAGATCATTGATGTAATCTTATATGCTTTTAATGGAGTAAAAACAGTATCTGATTTGCTGTATATCTTATGCATATTTTAAAAATTTTACTTTATATTATTTCAGTTGTGTTACCACACATTGGGAGTGCAACGGTGGAGACAAGGACAGAAATGTCTGTACTAGCAGCGAACAACTTACTGGCCGGTTTAAAGGGTCATCCCATCCCATGCCAAGTACAGTTTTGAAGTATTGTACAATTCATAGCAAACCATGCATCCATGATAATCCATGTCTAGCCTGTGAAAGCAATTTAGTGAGGAGTTATACTCCTTAGCTGACATGGCCATAGCCATTTTAGGGAAAATTGTGTTTATATCGTTATTTAAAACAAATTGTTTTTTTTCGCTGCTAGAAATGTTCACGATTTCAGGACCTCAGAAAAATTGCACTGACTAAAAAAATTATGTTTAACAGTGATTCACAGTGACTTCTTTCATTGTAGGTCATTATGACTGAGTCACAGCGACTTCTTTCATTGTAGGTCATTACGGCTGTGAGTCACAGTGACTTCTTTCATTGTAGGTCATTACGACTGAGTCACAGTGACTTCTTTCATTGTAGGTCATTACGACTGAGTCACAGTGACTTTTTCATTGTAGGTCATTATGACTGAGTCACAGTGACTTCTTTCATTGTAGGTCATTACGACTGAGTCACAGTGACTTCTTTCATTGTAGGTCATTACGACTGAGTCACAGTGACTTCTTTAATTGTAGGTCATTACGACTGATTCATAGTGACTTCTTTAATTGTAGGTCATTACGACTGAGTCACAGTGACTTCTTTAATTGTAGGTCATTATGACTGTGATTCATAGTGACTTCTTTCATTGTAGGTCATTACGACTGAGTCACAGTGACTTCTTTCATTGTAGGTCATTATGACTGTGAGTCATAGTGACTTCTATTGTAGGTCATTACGACTGAGTCACAGTCACTACTTACATTGTAGGTCATTATGACTGTGATTCATAGACTTGTTTCATTGTAGGTCATTACGACTGAGTCACAGTCAGTTTTGTGATATTCCTAGAAACGTGCATGGCCAGTAGTATTTGTTTTGACTTCAAAACTTTTATATTTATTACGACATATGCATAACTACATTTAGGTGCAGTAAAAACCACTCAGTTTCAAACAGGAAATTGATGTAACCATGTAAACAAACAGGAAATTGATGTTACCATGTAAACAAACAGGAAATTGATGTAACCATGTAAACCAAATTAAATTTATGGATTTCGAGTGAAAGAATTGTGTGATGTATGAAAATGGTGTATTATTGAAACGAGCGTTGTACATTTGTACAAAGTAAAAGTACAAAATAACATACAATTTTATTTTAAATTTGGACATCCTACATGGGAATTGCAATATAAGAATTAGTTTTTACTTTCCAATGGTTGAAAGCAAAATCATAGATGCTATTGCCAATGTTCCTAGGAATATTCCAACATTGCAAAGAAGATTACTAGGGAGATAGCACTTTTCCTAATCAGTTTATTTGGCACTCCCTGTAAAGTGGAACCTCTAATAATATGTCATTTCATATTTTAACAATTTAGTTGTTTTGAGAAATTGGTAATCGTGATTTGATTCTCAACTTCATTAAGTAAGTAAGTATGTCAAGTAAAACCTATTTACTGAATTTATTATGTCTTTGTTTTTAAAACAAAAACTGTTGAACTACTGAAAAGTACCAATTATATTTTACATGCAGTGTATGTGTTACAAGAGACCGATATCACATATGACGTAATGCCTCATTTGGTGTTTTGTCACATGACTATTTTCTAAAAATTTGATTTTAGTTTTTGTATGTTATAATTGTGGAGGCAACAAATAAATTAACCAAATGAATGTTTTTTATTATAAATAAACTAAATTACAATTTACCAACATAAAACTGAATTAAAAAAAAATATTCGTATTAGGGTAATGTACCCACAAGACATGGTTTCTTAATCCTAGTGAGTAGTTGTTTTTGCTGTTTTTCTTAGTGTCTCTGTAATTCTGAGCCAAACTGAACTTTGACCTGCTAAATAAAATCCCATCTACATGAGGTTTACTTGTTGCGATGTTTATGCAAACAGGTGGAAAATGACTTTTAGAACAAAATGTACAAGCTTGGCCTCAGAGAATACATATTATTTTACAATTTTCTCAAAAAGTAGAAAATATCCACAGCAATGAATCACAGAAGATTTTGACACACAGAATTGTTGCTGCTATGCAATAAAATATGCATACATTTGGTATTCCAACATAAATACAAGTGAGGAAGAGTCGGGTGGTTTTTCAGTTTCTACCAGCTCTACTGTAATCAGCAGTATATCATTCAATGTAATGTCTACATATATTATAGATTAGTTTGCACAAAGTTGATAAATCTGTCATCATTCAGTCTTGTCAGTCTCACCCTAGTTACCATCCCCACTTTTCAAATGAATCTTCCTTTATAGAGACATCAATAAGTTACGTGAGTGCAAAAACATTGACCAGAACCACTATCCCCTGAATTTGTATCATCAGTGATGCAAGACAAAATAGGCCTACATATAATTAGCTTACAGATTTTACGGTCAGTGCACATGCGTATGTGTCATCAGCCATATTAAAATCAAGAAACAAAGAAGTTATTTGAGGATCTTGTTGATTTAGTAATATATTTAATGTTAAAATACAATTAAACTGTCTTACCAATTACCAAACACATTTTGTATGCCTAAGTACAAAATTAACTTGGGCAGAAACTTGCACTACACTCATACGTGCATTGTTCTGCCAACAATTATCCCATCATTAAGACACATTTTGAAACAAATTATCTTTTAAAAAAAACTAAAAATCCATGTTGCCCGTAACTTGAAGTTCGTTCAACTGTTAATTAAAGATCAAGTTTATAAATGTTGTCGTTCAACTGTCACAGTGTAAGGCCTGTTTATTGATATTGAGAGGGACACTCACAGAACTCGCATTGGACAAGGGGTTCTTTCACTGTTAGAATGGGGTAGAAATAACTATTATAGTACTGAAAATGAAATACACATACACCAAACTACCAAGTTAAAGCTTCTGGCTTTAATACTTTCAAAATAATACAATGCATAAATTCACTAAAATAGAGGATTGTCTAGGGAAGTGTGCATAGGTGATAACTCACAGTTCCAGGATGTGGAAATTGATGACAGCCAATGGCTTCTTGCAACACAACAATGAAGAGATACTGGAGTCTTGCTTGCAGAGGAACGCTCTTATTCTGGAGGGCATCGCTGATAGCAGGAGGTCACAGAGCAGTTCATACAAGATTAAAGCCTGTATCACTTGTCTCACAATATCGTAGCAGCAGCAACACACAGAGTACTCAATTGAAATGGTGGACCTCAACTTTCATCAATCTAACCTATTTATAGAGCATAAACAAATGGCTCAGTTTCAGGTACACCACCTTGGTTTCCACAGGAGCCAATCAAAATGTGGTCCACTGCGGCCCCTCAGTGGGCAAGCAGGATTAAACATAAAAGCATCGCTCACATTCAGACATGTCTCTTCCGGAGAACCCCCCGTTCCCAGCCGCGGCTCTCCCACTGATTTGGGTGAGGCCGAGGCTCAGGCTAGTCGCACCGCGTCTCCCCTGAGGCCTCCGGCGCTGAATGCCAATGGAGATGCTGGCAGCCAAGCCTCCGATTTCGGGGCAGGGCTTTCGGGTTGGCACACGTTGCACCTCCCCCTACATTCAGCCAGCCAGGGTTCATCGCACGGTAATGGTACAACGGTAAAGAATTTACTCTTGTGTCTGGTCTCCGCTGTGGGTTTTGACTCCCTTCTTACTGACCCACGGGTGTCCCCAGAGGGAACCGACCCTGGTACGCGCAGTCAAACACGCTCCCTCTCACATACTTAAGTGGAAAGGAGACAGCTCGCTCACGTCGGATACAGCCGATACCCCGGGCGGCCCCTCAGAGTCTTCCATCCGTAACTACTCAGTGAGCCACGCCATTGTGGTGATGCGGAGTATCATCGACCCTAGTGATACAATGTAAATACTCCCACCCTTGATCCTAAGGCGCTCAACGCTTATAGGATCACGGGCATTGGGATCCAAAGTAACCCCATCGGCACATCTCTCCCTGACCGGCCGAGCACGGAGTGGGGAGCATGGCGCGCAAACGATGTTGATGGGCGGATGTTGGTCAGCCATGGAGGAGGTAGCGCTTAAGGCCCCTGGGTGGGGTAAAGGGGTACGTTCCCACCTCAGTGATGCAGAATGGACATCTTCCACCCTCTTCGTTCATGAAATGGCTGGTGCAGTCTCGGAGCTTTGGAGTGCAATGAACCAGAGGGTTCAGATCAAATCCGCTAGCCAGTTGGCCCTGCCAAGGGTAAACAGAGGGCACCCCAAGCACAGAAAACACAATGCCCTAGGGCATCGTCCGCTAGCCAGAGTTGGCCAGGAGGCAAGCGCTCATACCCTTCCATGGAAGGGAAGTGTAGCAGCGAACCCCCAGGGAGGAAGGGTTTAGGTGGTGGCTCCTCAGCCTCCTCTGGCAGTCGTCCACCCCGGCAGTGGGGGAAGCATGTTTGATGCTTACCTCTGCGACTGGGGGGACAGTTATGTGTTCGGCGAGTGGCCAGGTTACAACGCAGTGACTCTCGCAGGCCTTGGAGGATCTCACCTCATGAGAAAAGTGAGCACCCACCCCTTGCAACTGGAGAACCCATGGCCACATATCCCTGTCGAACACAGATTGCGCCGGTGTAGTCTGGTTTGGAGGTTGCGGGTGACCGATCCCTGGACCTTTCCAGGTGGTGACATTCTGTTACGGGATACCACTGAAATCTCCCCTGTCAGTGTCTCCCCTATTGGGCACTGCCAGGGGACTCCTGCAAGGTGGAAGCAATCAGACAGGAAGTAGCAGTTTGCTGGAAAAGGGCGCCATACACAGGGTAGATCAGCTGGCATTAATCCAGGCTTCTACCCAAATGTGTTCGTAGTACCAAATCTACAGATGGCGGGCGTCCAGTTCTGGACCTAGGCAGACTGAATTAGTACGTGCTTCTTGATCGGTTCTGCATGGAGAACGCCATTCAGGGTTCTTCTCTCCATCGACTGGATAGCCCCACTAGACTTAAGCGGGTCTACCTGCACATACTGATGCACCTGGCTGGGCCAAGTGTTCGAATTT